GTGGAAGCTAAACAGTCAAAATGCATTTCTCAGCTCCCTCTTTGCTATGGCATGTAAAACACACACAAGAAACCAGTTAGCTGTCAGTTAGTGGCATTCACGTAGTTTTGTTTGTGGGTACAGCACAAACACAGACACCACACTCAAACATGTGTCCTGTTTTAATATCACCACAAACCATTCCTAGAGTTAATGGTTAATAACTCACTTAAGCCTAGAGATATTTTTTTCAGTCAAAGGCTTAAACCAGTAACGGATGAAAATACTGAAGCACATTATTATAGCCATGCAAAAATAATCAAAATGCCATAGGCCTGGTTCTACAGACCTTACTGAGGCAAATCTCCCATGGAAAGCAATAGCAAATTGTCCCAAGAAAAGATTGCCAGACATATTATTTGTTATAGAAATGCTTTAGCTGCTAAAGAATCTCTGAGAAACCCAGTAATACCTCAAAGTGAAATTAGATATTTTTATCAGCGTGCCCAGACACTGCAGCATCATGTCCCCAGATCTGTTCAAAATATTTTTCCTAACCCTGAGATAGGTCAAGCAGCTTTCACTCGCTTTGGAGCCAGGGGCAAGGGCACTCAGTCTTGCAAAATCCAGGCAGAGAGCTGACTGAATCCTTTCCAGTTATTTTGCTGAACTTACAATCAGACCCAACATGAGTAGTCAAGGATAATAATGGTTAAATAAGAGCAACGCTGAGACAGAAAGTTGTCAGTTGGAGAATGTTGCCTCTCAGTGACGCTAGATAGCCAGTGAAAAAAATGAAGAAAGAATGTGCCTGAAAAGAACAGCTTATCTAGAAGTACATGAAGTCAGAATAGTCACAAGTCATGGATTTCTAGTGTTTTCCCTGTAATGAGACATTGTCTCGTATGTGCGTAGTGTACTTGCATACAGTAATTAGTTTGGACACTCCGGTCAAATACAAACCATCAACATCCTTCTCTCAAAAGTGCCTACCACATGTAAGCTTAGCATTTACTGCACTTGGTTTGGGGTCAGACTCTTTTTCCTTGAATGAGAGGTGCATTTTATAGAAGGATGGAAGGGACCTCTAGTGGGTCATCTTAACCCTAACAGCCTAATATTTTTTTACACACCGTACCCAATATATGAATGCAATCATTCCAGTTTCCATTGCCTTCCTGCTCTGTGTGTGTGGGTGAGATATTGTTGATATCTCCATTATGAAGCACTTCTTACATCAGCCTTCCTAGGCAAGTATTTTTCCCTGATTTACAAACACAGGGGTTGTTTGAATAACTGAGCCAGAAGGAGGCAGAAGGTCAAAGAGATATGTATCTACCACATCTTCTTTGTTTTAAGAAGATTTTTGATCTAGAGCATACAAAGGAAATTGGTAGGCAAAATGTAATCCTTAAGTCTGGCTGAGTAATAAAAGTCATGTGAAATGTAACACTACGTAATATTATACAATCATCTGGAATAGCAGAATGTTATTTGGGGCGAGACTTAATGCTAAATATCATACAGACATTTAAACAGAAACCCACCCTCTTTGGCATACTAACCCCTCACATGTCAATCCCTGCATTATTTTGGAAATGTATGCTCACACAAGATGCAGATCTTGTGATGTTCTTTGACTGCCTTGTGTGTACTGGAACCAAATCTTTAGGTTTCAGCTCTGTAAAATGGAATAGCTTTTCAATCAAGAGGACTTTAATAACAGGCTTTAGAGATTCAAGATTTTGTCACAGTGGGTAAATTGGCCAAATACACATTACAGGATTAAGGCAGCTTTAGGTTGTCTGTGATAAAAGGAATTATCCTTGGTAGTTTACAAGAGGCAGTAGGAAAGCTTTGCTCATCACATGAGACATACTGTTTTAGACTCAGTAAAGCACTAAGATTTTGTATGCTTTTTATAAACTAGAAGAGTGAAAGGAGAACTGCATTTCCCATGCAAATATCCTGGGAAAATAGATTACTGAAGCTAGGAATGTAACATGAGCCACAATGGACAGCTTGACAAGCAGCACAGAAGTATGCCACTCAAGAGGAGTCCAAGGTGCTAGTTTTATTAGCATACTCGCAAATCAGACTGACCTTAATGAGAAGGTTGTTAGAGATGGCTATTGGAGAGCTTCAGGGAGTGCACTGGTCAAAAAAATTCTCCTGGGGGAGATCTTGAGCTTGCGTTAATGGTCACAGCTGCACTGAAGAGAATGAAACAATATGGGTTCAGCTCAGTATTATCACATTGCATTTTTGCTTAGGGACATTGAGTTGAAGGGCATAAAATACTTGCCCTAAAGCCTGAAATCATCCAAAACTGATTTTGGGACACTTAAAACATAGGCAATGTTTGGTCAAATGTGTGCTCACAAACCTGGGTATAAGTAGGCCTGATTTTGAGCAAGTATCCCTACTGTATCACTTCATGCAAAAACAAGAGTCATCTTTCAGTCTCATTGTGGAATGGGGGAAAGCTGCTGTTTGAATTTTACACTGAGCAGTAGAGATGTAATATCACTCTTGAACCCATCACTTGAACCCAATACTCAAAAAGTGCAGCTCTACAGAGACAAAAAGTGAAGGGGATGCTCTTAAACCAATGCTACTTGAAGTTGCCGATTTCAAGTAGCTCTACCGTTGATCAAATCACAGATCTAACGAGTTTGGCTGAAGGGACTGAGAAAGATAAATTGCAGAACACTCCCAATCATTTAGCATACTATCTTTGTCCACCACATTTTGAAACCTGGTAATGTAGCAGGATAATTAGGGGTGGAACGGACGGAAGGAAGGAATATTCACTCACAGTTATGTATCTTCTCCCATTTCACCCACATGCAGAAACAACCTCTTATCCAGCTAACTGACCAAATGATTATACGACAGGCAAGGAAGTGAATTCATTTTCTTTGGCCAGTAAGAATCCAGTCACATGCAGTACCCTGATGCAAGATGAGAGGATACATAGCCAATCTCAGCACACTGAAGTAGGGCAATTGGAAGGATAAACTGTGTTATAGCATTCATGGGAACATAGCTAAAATCCCAGCTTGCGCTCTTTCTGTGGTTCACAGCGCAGCTGTGCGTCTATCCCACACCAAGGAAAAAGCATGTATTTTCTCACGGTTATTTATTATGCAGGTGCCACTTGTATCTTCTTTCCTCAGATGTTTCATACCTTCTTTGCCAGTACAACATCTCTAAAAGACAGATAGCTAACCATCTCCCAGTTCCTCGAAAACAAAACAGAGGTTAGTGAACCAAAAGGTCATGAACTCTGGAAAAGTACCAGAGACCCGCTCAAACAAACCAGGATGCTCTTGAAGAAGATCCAGTGAAGAAGGCTAGCATAAAACTCAGAGAGCACAGAGCACAGCGGACAAGAAATTTGGCCCAAAAAGTTCACATTTAAAGGAATAATAGAAAGGCATCTAAAACCATAGACAGACACAAGTGGTTAAGCAGTAAAATCAACAGGAGTGGCTGAGGCTCATCTCTGCTGATGCTCAGACTGCTGCCTCTCTGGATAGCTCATTACGGACTGAAGTGCCTACATTTTAGGCGCCCAAATTCGAACATTTTTCCATTACGCTCCTGCAATTGCATTTATTTAAATTTAGAAATGAAATGCACTTTTATGCATTTATTTATGTTTTTGAAGTGCATGACTGAGCAGAAGAAAATTTTTAGAATGATGCTGTATAAACACTGCTTCCGGCTTCAGTACAAGTACTTGTTATTCTCTCTCTTGCTTGACTGCAGTGCTCCATTATCTGACCCTTTAGTTTTCCTATCCCTGACAACTGCCTTCCTGCTTTTACTGCCTGAAGTGTGATATATTAAGAGTTATAGTGCTTTCCTAGAACAGAGCAGTGACTAATCCAACTCCAGGTCCAGTGGTGTGTGATCGGTCAGCTGAGAATTATTACCCGCTTAGGTCTTTCCCTCCTCTGTAGGGAGCAGCTACTCTGAGAAGCAGGACTTGCTCCAGCAGTCTGATTTAACTGCATGTCTCCAAGCCTGAGAGCTGGTACACAGTCACTGTGGGCACCACTGCGGCCACCACTGCCAGAGGAGAGAGGAGCTCTGCCGAGTACTGGGCAATAACCAAATCCTAAATGTTTTTTCCCACTCCTCTCTTCCCTTTCTTTAGCAAACGGGCTGTATCAGAGCACCAGCTATTGCATGACAAGGGCAAGTCAATCCAAGACTTACGAAGAAGAATATTCCTTCAAAATTTAATTGAAGGTGTCAACACTGCAGAAATCCGTGCAACTTCGGAGGTTTCACCTAACCCTAAGCCTGCTACCAATACGAAGAACTACCCTGTCCGATTTGGTAGTGAAGATGAGGGCAGATATCTAACTCAGGAGACAAACAAATCACAGACCTACAAAGAGCAGCCCATGAAGGTATCGGGGAAGAAAAAGAAAGCAAAGCCTGGAAAACGTAAGGAACAAGAGAAGAAAAAGAGGCGAGCCCGCTCGGCTTGGCTAAATTCTGGCGTGTATGGAAGTGGAGTGACCGAGAGCCCACTCTTGGACAACTCTGTTACAACACATAATCACACTTTAAGGTAATTCTGCTATATCCTTTTGTGGGGCATACCATATATTTACTGAAATTGTTATCCTTCAGTGTGAGAGGCCCAGGCCTCACTCAAACCTGGAGTAATAGCACACCTTTATGCTCATAACTGGGCAGTGGCTCTTCAAGCGGTGCACAGTCTCAAGGTGCTTTCTGGAGGTAAGTAAGTACCCTTTCCACTTTGCACTAGTGACAAAGTCTTTCCTTCCTATGACAAACAATTCAAGCAAACCACTTATTGCCAAAATGAGCTTCCTGAAGCTGCGTGAGTAGTAAGTAAAGTTATTTCTGCAAAAAAGAAAGCACATCATAGCCATTAAAATTTCCTTTCCTGTTTTAACTGTAGTGTCTCGCACGTCAGATCTTGGTCCCACACTTGGGCCTCAGCAGATTGAAAGCTTTGAGTTTTATTTAAGGCTCTGCATCTATAAAATGGCGAAGTTTTCTTTCCTCCCTCTCAACGCCTCCCCTTTTTGGCAACTTTCCTACCCTTACTTTACAGTTTTTCATTTTACTGTTTAACCTTAGGGGAGAACCCGGAAAATTTCTCTCTTAGTAATATCTGCAAACAACGCAGACCAGCCTTTTGCCATAAAATTTTCCCTGCCATTAGGACTTTTTAATTCAGCTCCATCTTTTTGCCAGCTCGTGAAACAATTACGTTGCTGCTGAAAAATGTTGAGCATTGCTTTTGGAGAGAGACGTGCTTCCCTCATGTATGACAATGAAGGGTTTTCAGGGCAGTGGCGAGCTGAAGACTTCAGTCTAGGTGCCCCAAGCAACTCGTCTGCTTGCAGTGATCTCAGCTTGAGAGGAAGTCTGCAGACTTGCAGACAAAGCCAAGGAGTCCACTCCTCAGTTCTCCTCAAATGTTTGCATTTTCAACCGCAAAAACCCCTCCCTTTTCTCTCCTCCTCCCCTTCACTTTGGCAGAACAGAGACATAAGAGAAGTGCCACTTGCTCACAGTAAATCCCTTAGAAAGACATGCCAGCTGTGGGATTTACTAAAATCCAGTCTTGGGTTAAACTTTACAGGCCACAGTTTGCAATGTGCTCCATCACCTCAACTTCTGCTGGCATCTACAGGAGTTACCGGCATTCAGGGCTAGGCATTCGGTGTCCCTGACCATAAACCAGTTAGCATGGCTGTAGCAGTTAGTAGCAAAGCATGAGAGGCTGGTTTGTCTCAGCGCCTTAGGAAAGGCACGCCCCGGGACTCTGGTCAAGAGTCACCTGATGTTTCAACGGGTGTTAAGGAACTGTGGTGGCCAATAAATAGCACCTGTCTTTGGCACATAGAAATCTTGAATGT